CTCTATAGTTTTGTGTAGTCCTAAGGCTTGAAGTCAGAGCCTGGAGCTGTCCCTAAGCTTTTTTGCTGAAGGCTAGCACTCTACCACTTAAGCCACAGTTCCACTTTCAACTTTTTGGTGGTTAACTGGAGATCCAAGTCTCATGGCATTCCTGCCTGTGCTGGTTTGGAATTCTCAGATCTCAGCCTCCTGAGTAACTAGGATTGCATCTGTGAGCGCCATTCCCTGGCTTTCCATGCTATATCATTTTGGAGAATATCAGTTCAAATAATTTATTGACATTTTAACACAATTATCATTTTATTGTTTGGCTATAGGATTCCTTCATAAGATCTGGATATTACATTTATTATATATATGATTGGCAAATATTTTTTCCAGTCTATGAGTTGTCTTTTCACTTTCTCCATAATGTTCTTGATTTTAATGAAGGGAGATTTAACCCTTTTTTTTGTTTTTTGTTTTTGCTTTAGCGATGGTGCCACAGATAAGGATTGCTATTAATACAAAATCAGGCGGAGTTTCTATCCTAGAATTCTATAATTTTAGCTTTCAGGTCCCTGATTTATCTTGGGTTAATTTTCATATGTGGTAAGAGGTAGGAGTCCACTGAAGACAAATATAGAACTATAAAAGCAGGTGGGCTTTTGGGATTAGCAACAAGTCTCTTGCTGTTGTTCTCTGATTACAAAGAAGATTTAAAGCCATTGCTTAAAATACTTGGATTCTTTTGCCAACTTAGCGATGACCATGCTAGCCTACATTCCAAATAATACAGTGAAGATAAGAGTTTCTGTAAAGAGCTAATTGAGGTAAAGTGTTCATTCCTGACCATTCATGTTATTTGGCCCTGGCCTGAAATTACTGAAGTACAGAACTGAGATAATGGCTCTTAAACTATGCATACCTTTGTCCCCTATCCTTAATTGTTTGCTATGGAAACTTAATGCTCAGGTCTGTACCCTGAAGAGGGCTGGGGGTGATCTGCAGTTCTGTCTTTCTGTGGCATTATGCTACACAATTGCTTTCTCTGCCATATTCCTTTCCCAATAAACTTTTCCATCACTTTTACTACATTTACTTTTTTTTTGTTTGTTCTTTGGTTGTGGGGCTTGAGCTCAGGGCTTGTGCGCTGTCCCTGAGCTTTTTTGTTCAAGGCTACCACTTTACTGCTTGAGCCGCAGTGTCAATTAAGAGTCTCATGGCTTTTCCTGACAGGGTTGGCTTCAAACCGCAATCTTTGGATCTCAGCCTCCTGAGTAGCTAGGATTACAGCCGTAAGCCACTGGCACTACATTGACTAAATCTTCTCAGGTCTTTTTAGGTCAGATGCAAGAATCAAAGTTTGGTTAAACATGCATAAATTTCAGTAACAGCAGAAATTCACTCTGTTTAGATGGATGGAAAAGTGGAATTATGAGAAGCTACTGGAGTTGGGAAATTTTGATATGTTACAAAAGTAGCAGATTAAAAAATAGTTATGGGACTTTTAGACAAAGATTTGGTGTAATGTGTATCTTTCTATTGTTACGCATTCTCCAAAAGGTCTCAAAGAACCAAGTACACAGTTTTCTAACCCAGAAAGCACTAGCTACATTTGAAACTTTCTAAGCTGTATGCAGACTTTCTCAAGCTACAAAATTGGAATGGTATATGTGATACATTTAACTTTTAGATTTATTCAGTTGAGTAAAAAACTAACACATATAACAGCCCTTAAAAGACATGAATAAAATGTGGTTTACGGGGCTGGGAAGGTGGCTCAGTGGTAGAGGGCTTGCCTTGCATGCATGAGGGCCTGGGTTCAATTCCCCAGCACCACATAAGCAAAAAGTAAAAAGCCGGAAGTGGCGCTGTGGCCCAGTGGTAGAGCGCTAGCCTTGAGCTGAAGAGCTGAGGGACAGTGCCCAGGCCGAGAATTCAGGCCCCACGACCGGACCCAAAAAAAAAAAAAAAAGTGGTTTACATCAGTGAGTGTATATCTACATACATAATATTATAAAAGGAAAGATTTGTAACTCACTGACTAGTGAAAGATTGCTTAGAAAACAAATCACTAGAGAACCAATTTACAGTTTTCTCCCAAGGAGACTTTGAAAGAATGTATTTGAGTTGGCTACTGGAATTCTGTTTGAAATTATCATCCATTCTACTAGTAATATTGCAGTAACTTACCAGATGTCACTTCAGAAGTGAAATTCAATGCACATGAAATTTGTTTTTTTTAAAAAATTTTCTGAATTGTTACTCTACTGAACTAATTTTTGCTCTAAATTCAGCTTGTTCCCAGAATTGTTCCCAAAAATCTGACCTCCATATATCTCAAAAATTATTCCTTTCACTCAAAGCTGTGGTTCTTTAAAATGTAAAAGGAAAAGCTTTCATAGGAGTATTTTTAGGCGAACAGTACAAAAGTTACTGGTAAAGCACAAATTCTTAAGTCTGTTGTCAACAAGAAAAGACTATAAAAGAACAAAATTTACAAATTCCTAGGACTGAAGTCAAATCCTCTATTAAGACCAAAATATTTGTCTTTATAGACTCATTGATCCGTTTAGACTACCACTGGTGATTCATCTATTTGCATCACTCCTGAGGATGCAATTAGTCACAGGTTAAAATTGCAGGAAGTTCACTTTGTATTGAGACCTAATGGAAAAGAACCTTTAAATATGCTTAGATTTAAGTACATCCTATAAAGTTATCCTGATCAAGCTATGCATTTACCCGTGGGCTTTTTTTTTTTTTTTTTGTCAGTCATGGACCTGAACTCTGGGCCTGCGTGCTGTCCCTCAGCTCTTCAGCTCAATGCTAGCATTCTATCATTTAAGCTACAGGGCCACTTCCGGCTTTTTCTGCTTATGTGGTGCTGAGGAATAGAAGAACCCAGGGCCTCATGCATGTGAGCCAAGTGCTCTGCCACTGAGCCACCTTCCCAGCCCCTTACCTGTGTATCTTTAACTGTGATTGGATGTCTTTTACCATGTGGTGTGGCCCTTTGTTTGCTGTGGACTGCATACTGAAGCACAGAAGGGCTTATTTCTCAGTTTCCTTGTGTTTGAAAATGGGGATAATTGTAGTTACCTCACAGGATGGTTTAAATGAGATGATAAAATGAGATGTATGTGAGCTGTGTGGCACACAGTAAGAGGCCAGTGGCAATGACTGTCAATCAAGCCAAAAGACTGATAGCCAAATATGGTCAAGGTCATGAAATATGTCATTTAATCTCTACTTTGGCATTCTTTCCAGTTGCAGTTTTCTTGGTACATACTGTAACCATAAAATTTGTACCATGTTTAAGACCAATACCATTAAATATATACTCTAGTTTGTTTAGTGGCTCAAAGGGGCTTCACTTCTTCCAACAGTTAAAATTATCTAACTCTATGATGAGAGAGAGAAGGAAATAATGTCCATTGAACAAACTGATCACTGTACACAACAAAATTCTGAACAGTTAGGTTTGGGGTTCCTAAAAAAAAAAATGAGAAGACTCACTGAAGTCCAAATTCCACTATAGACCAATAGGCCCCTGTGCACTATTTTCCTAAAATCACTGTTTTGTAATGGCAGCTTGAATAAACTGACTTGCGTGTCACTGTGAGTTCACGTCTGCTTTGCTACTGAATCAGCTGTGTTTGGCCAGCCTGGCTGTCTTCACATTGTTTCCTGATGTTTCTCCTTAAGCTTAGCAACCAATTAAACGTTGACTATCAACCTTCAGGGCGAGATGTGCTACTGGTTTACTGTTTGGCAGTTTACATTTTTGTACTTTTGTCATAAGGATTTTCTCCACACACATTTTGTTTCCCCTTCAGTATGCATATGCTTTGAAATACTAACAAACATGCATGTTTATGCATGTTTAATTCTCATTAGACATGTGTTGTGTTAAAGGTTGGTGAACATACAGAAGTAAGAGTGAGGATAATGTGATGTTTCAAGTAGATGTAAACAAAAGTCTACAGCAGCGACAAAATGAAGAGTCCTTCACATTTACATGAGCAATGTCTTCAGGCCAAATTGACTACAAACTCATTAGTTGACTTAAGAATGTTGTGAAAGTTGTGTTTTGTATTAGAAATAAAATTTGGACAAAGGGCTTTATTTATGTCTATGCCATGAAACACCACAAAAGATCATACATGAAAGTCGTAATCCTGATAAACACTGAATTAGTTGTTGCCTTGCGTTGACCTTGGGAGATATTCGGAAGTACTTATTCCAATCCTGTTTTATACATGCTAGGAAAAAAGTGGTATGTACTGAGAAAAGTGTTTTTCCAGACAGGAGACTGGAGTTAAGGGAGTGGGGGTGGGTGGACGGATGAGGGTGCGCTCTGGGTTCCTGATCACAGATCCTTCGGGGCTGGTGGGGTCTTGAGAGATCACTTCCCCCCCCCCTCATTTTCCAACACAGAACCTGAGGTTCACAAACACCCGCTCTAGAATCTTCTCTCCATTTCGCCATTCGGAGGCGCAGTTTCGAAGCCATTTCCTCCGCGGTGCCCTTAGGCGAGATCCTTTCAAATCTCTGGGAAAGGTGGCTGGCCAATCTCGGAGTTGGGAGGATTTTTCCTCCCCCCCCTCGCTCTTTTCTCTCTCTCCTCTTTTCCCCCCACTCCTCTCACTCCCCCCCCCCGTCTCTCCTCTCCCTCTCTCTCCCCTCTCTGTGTCCCATTTCCCTCTCTCTCTCTTCTCACCGCCAAGTCCCCGTGGAAACCAACCTTCCGCGAGGCTGTGACGCGGCCAGAGGCCACGGCTGGCTCCGCTGACCACTTCCCGCAGCCCCACGCCGCGACTGGCCGTGGCCTGCGCTCCGGGGCCGCGTGATGCCGCCCCAAAAAGGCGCAGAGCCGCCCGCGTCCCCGCAGTCGCCCCGGCCTCCTCCTCCTCCGCCCCCGGCCCCGCCGTCCAATCGCCGCGGCCGCCAGGCGCCCGGGCCTAGTCGCCCGGCCTCGGGGACGCCGCGCGCGGGAGCCCCGCCGCCCGCCGCCTCCTATCGCCATGCGGTTCCGCTTCGGGGTGGTGGTGCCGCCCGCCGTGGCTGGCGCCGGGCCGGAGCTGCTGATCGTGGGGTCGCGGGCCGAGCTGGGGCGCTGGGAGCCGCGCGGCGCGGTGCGCATGAGGCCGGCGGGCACGGCGGCGGGCGCGGGGGCGCTGGCGCTGCCGGAGCCGGGCCTGTGGCTCGGGGAGGTGGAGCTGCGGCCCGCGCCCGAGGAGGGGGCGCCGGACGGGGCGGAGCCGGGCCGCGTGGACACCTTCTGGTACAAGTTCTTGAAGCGCGAGCCGGGAGGAGAGCTCGCCTGGGAAGGTACGGGCCCGGCGCGGCCCCGAGCCGTCCTGGCGCTACCCCGCGGTCGGGGTCGCCCTCGGCCCGCCCGGCCTGGGCCGCGGGCAGCGCGGGCCCGAGACCCCGCGGCCGATCCTTGGTCTCTGCGCCCCCGGCCCCTTGGTGCGTGGCGGGTCACTTTCCCTGGTCACCGCCTCACCCCACCCCGCCCCGCATACCCCAGTTCTTTGCGCCATCGCGGGTTACCCCCCCCCCCCGTGTTCTCCCCGCCCCATCCCTGTCCCCTCCCCGGCTCCCAGGGCGCACTCGGGGCGTCCGGGCCGGGCACCACCCCGGGACCGGGGGAGGGGCGGCGGGGAAAGGGGTCCCGCTGCGCTCTGCCTTAGCTGTACTCCGAGCACTTCTTTGGTCCCCGGTGCGTTAAAATCTGATTCTGGCAATGGAAATCTTTACAACTCCCAGATTTCACTGTCTACTTACTGTATAAAATACTTTCTTCCTCTTAGATTATTGAGAAGGAACGATTGGGGAGAAAAACACGTTTTCTCAGGTATGGAAGGACTGAGACATGCATGCGCCGATTTCTTTAGAAAAGTATAAACACCGCTTAGCACCGGTTGTGAACACATCATCATCTGAGCGCACAGGCCAAGACAGAGTCCCCACGCTTTCCCAACCCCAAATCCTACCATGCACACATCATTCAGAATCCTGCTTAGCCGGACATTGTGGGTATCTCTCAGTATCACGACCGGTGTTTTCGTTTTATATAAAATAGAAAAGAAAAAAGAAAAGGAAGGCGGTTTGGAGTGCCAGGTCTCCTAGGCTAGGAGTGGAGGTGGCTGGCCTGGGAGCCCCCGCAGTGGAGCGTTCTCTTTGAACATTTGGGCATGTTGTGCATCGTTGAATAGAGCCAGAGAAGTGAAATGATTAGGTCCAAATATGTAGCCAGATGGTGCATTTCAGGGGCAGATTATACCCTGACAAAGTGATAGCAAGGCGTAGTCTCTCAGTGTGTAAATTGGAGAAGGTGGGAGCTTGGGGTGTGAGGAATTCAATGCTGTTGAAGGCCAATCAATGACAGGAGTGTCTCTTGAGAAGTTCATCTGAGAGGAAAATGGACTATGTAGCCCAAAAGGAATTCACAAAAATGAAGGAGTGCGCTGGACTATGTTTCAATCTGGTCTTTGTTCCTCTTTTTGTACCCAACAGTTTTTTTAAAAAAAATATTTCCTTGTAAAGCGGGGGTGGTTACATGAGTAAGATAATGAGTACATTTCTTGTTGAACATTGTTACCCTCACCTTTGTTTTTCTCCCCCATTCCTCCCCCCCCCCCCACCCAGTTGTAAAGTTCATTTCCAACTTGGTGTTTTGTATCATTGTTGCAGTGGGTCATCCTGTGTCCTTGTTTGAGCATTTTGTTATTCCCCTTCCCTTCCCCAAATCAGATAAATGTGTATACAAGATGCAGAGCACCAAAATCAAATACAGTGACAAGAGGGGGAAGAACATGCAAAAGAAACAAAAAAAATCACATAGTACATTAAAAACAACAATCTCTGGTAGTATTTATTATCATTTTCATTCCAGGCATCACTCACTTATAACACAGAATTGTTTTTCATGCTCACTTTTAATAAAAATGTAACTTGGGGAAAAGTCTTTCCTTTCCCCAAGCCCTCTCCTTTTCTTTCATTAGCATTCTGGGATTCCTCCTAAAGCTCTAATAATTCACTTATATGACTTTTTTGAATGGACTCACTTTGTGCTTAGAGAGTTCCTCATAAATTTTATGTGATTTAAAAAAAATTAAAATTAGGCAGTATCTATTGACACCTAGTGGATGCACATAAAATTAACCAATTAAAATGTGAGGAACTCAGCTCTAGTTCATTCCTCTTCTCCCTGCTGATTTTTATATTATTTTAAATTACATAAATATATGTGACTTAATTTTCCATTATGTAGAAGATTCATGAATGTAGTTCCATTATGAAGAAAATTACCCCTAAAAAGAGATAAGAAAAACAACTAACACATCATTCCTGCTTAGTTTATCTTCTGCGTTGTTAAATTCTACAGGTTTTGCTCTGTTTTCTTCTTGTGACTTGTTTTAGGCTGATGGGTTGGTTCTAAGGACTGTAAATTATGAGAAGAATGTGGAGAGGCTGTCAGGTGGTCAAGAGCAAAGACTCTTGTGTTCTTGTATCACGTGGCCTCAGTTTATCAGCCAATCGGTTGTCCTGAGAGAGCCCGGTAACCACGGCCATCATTGAAAGGATCAAACTGCTTCAGGAATGAACTAGGTTCCGATAGAACATGTATTATGTGTTCCATAGGGCTAGCTCTTATTATTTGTGTCAGAAGCCAAGTTTTAAAATTAGATTAAAGAATAAATACAAACCTGTGATACAAAAACCATCGTTGGAAGGAAAAAAAACCTACCCATTTTTGTCTCTTCAAATCAAGTCTTTTACATAAAATGATAGCAGACTTGACTTCATATTTGGACTAACATGTTCGTCTACAACTTCGTTCTCAACTTCATATTAATTATTTTACCTGAAGAATCAGAGGGAACTTCCAACATTTCCTGCTTCATTGCTCTATTTCCTGAGTGGAAATTGCTGAGCTCTTTAAGATAGTTTTGGGTTGAAGTATTGGAATTCCTATCCTGTTTTTCAGTAATCTGTTTCTGTAAAGACTATGTGAGACTTTCTTTTAAAGAAAAATCAAACTCCTATGTTCGTTGTGTTGTTTTGAATCTATATCATTGAATTCCTGAACACCTCATTTTGTTGATTGTATTCTCAAATAACTTTTAAGAAATGGATGACAGTATCTTAGTCCCTAGAAGACATCAATGACTTCTTTCTGCTCTAGGGATTGGCCGATCCTTTATGGAGTGTATTGTGCACCGGTCTCAGTAATTTTCTCTCTTCATTGGCTTTGCCTCAGTATTGACCCATACTCTTTGTGGTCCGTAATTCTAATGTTGAACTAAGCCTTTTTTTGTTCTCTCATTCTCTGCCTCTCTCTTTAGAAACTTTAATTTTTTCTCTTATTTTACAAGGATGTATCTTACTATTATTAATTAATGTTACTTGACACTTGATTGGGTCTTTTAATTCCAGGAATTAGTTCCTTTAGTTGAGGGCAGTTTTCATCATTTGTTTAATTCTTTCTCTGTTTTGTCTTTATTTCCCTTGGAAATATGTTAGTTATTATATATATTATATCTTCTGCATATATAGAGAGTGCTTCTAAGCTTTTCTCTCTTAATTCTCATCTGTTGTGTTTGGATAAATTTCTGAGATCTTTACTTGACTTTTATTTTACAGAAATACCTGTGTCATATATGTATATAATATGTGTGCATATACATGTATCATACATAGATGTCTTAAGCAGCCATATAAACAGACATCTCAGCGTTGGCTGCAGCTGGTCTCCAGTGCCCTTGTCCACAGTAGGGTCCTTTCCAGTGTCTGGGGAACACACTGACTGTTGGTGGCCCTTGGGGAGGGGTCATATTGAGGAAGGAGGTGGGAAATCTTTCCATGGACTCTGTCTTCTCTGGTTTGGTGTATGTTTATTTGTAGGTCTCCTTCTCGTTTTTGGTGGGGAGAGGCGGTAGTGTGGATTTAACTGAGGACTTGGTACCAGTAAGCAGGCGCTCTACCCCTGCAGCCACACTCTAGCCGCTTCCTGTAGCTTTTTTAGAAGTCTTCCCTAACCACCTCATCTCTTCTCACAGCACCTGCTCGCTTTTCTCACACCTCTAATTACAGCTCAGAACCACATTGGTTATAGTGGCTAGACTCTTCAGTTGCAAGTAATAGAAACCAAATGTGAGCCAGTCTAAAAAAAGAATGAAGTCGTATCACCCACTAGAAGCAGGTGGGAGTGCAGACAGCCTTTCTTTTCTCTCTCATTGCTCTCTCCATTCCCCTGGGCTTTGTGTACTCAGCCTATGTGAGTCCACCTAGCCAGACTTCCCTCCAGACAGCTCATGCATATATGGTTTAATCCAGAGAAGAAAAATAACAACTCCAACGATTCCTTGTCAAGGGAGATGTCCCACTGCATTCTCCTGGCACTCCTCAAGGAGACAAGAGGCTGGCCTGGCTGTAGCCATCACATGTGGATTCTCTGGAATAAGAGAGCAGAGGGACATTAGGAAAAGGCAGCCCTGGAATCCCCTTTATTTAGAAGGCAAAAGCATTACTACTCCTTCCTTCTGGCCACAAATGTTGTGCTTGGCTGTTTCTACTATACACTTGATCCAAAACGTTCATTGCTCCCTGAAGCAAATTAGAGTTATGACTGTCAAGAATAATGAGAACAGTAGATCTTAGATAGGTAGTTGAAACATTGCAGCATTTTGAAAGAAAATCAAGCATGATATTCTTTTTTTTTTCTTCTGTCAGTCGTGGAGCTTGAACTATAGGTTTGGACTCTATCCCTCAGCTCTTCAGCTCAAGGAGAGCGCTCTACCACTTGAGCCACAGTGCCACTTCTGGTTTTCTGGTGGTTTTTATTGGAGATAAGAGTCTCATGGACTTTCCTGCCTGGGCTGGCTTTGAACCGCGATCCTCATATCTCAGCCTTCTGATTAGCTAGGATTATAGGCGTGAGCCACTGGTGCCCGGCTCTACTTATTCTTTTGTTGTATATCTTTCCATCATACTTTGAGCTCTTGAGCTGTGTGCATCTTGTTCTTTCCATCCTACTCTTTTTTTTTTTTTTTCAATGAGCACTTGGGATCAGATTTATTCTTCTCTTGTCATTCTAGATACTCAAGCCCTGAGTTCAAGCCCCAGGACCGGCACACACACACACACACACACACACACACACACACACACACACACACATACACACACACATATACACACATGATCACACTCAACATTTGTGAAGGAAACTGCGGCAGGGGACATATGGATGAAAAAGAATTCTTCATTTTATTTATTTTTAAAATGCTTATATACATCTGCATATATGTCTTTTTTTTGTC